TGCCAGGATGGAGTCTTTGATATCTTAGTCTACCGTATTAGCGTGATGGATATAGAAGTTTCTAATATCAGATGCAGGGCCTGCCGCAGGGCGCTTGAGATCATAAAGCACTTGATGTCGACATGTCCAACATATGTGATCTCAGCCTATATCTATCGACATATCGCGGACCTAAGAGTAATTTATTAACATGAACGACAATTTTACGATATTCACGAGACACCGGTGTTACCCCACGTCCCAAGAAATATTGAATTCCTTGAAGGATATGAGAAGCGACAGACCTATTCATTCTCCACCTACAGTTAATGAGTCCGATGTATTTCTTTTCGACCATAAGAGCAAGACGATATTTGTCTTGTAGTTTTCAGCTCCGGGTGAGATAAATATCTTCTCGATAGAGGGGAAAAATGGATGAAATATCAAAATGCCTTCTTTACTCTCGAATCTCAAGATCACGCCGAATTGCCGCATTTAGGCCCCCCCATGCCCCCTCACGAGTTGAGTGCCCTGAAGTAAAAGCTTCGCCCCACAACTAATTTGAGAGGAAAACCTAATACTCCACTCCATCAACCACCGCTCTCCGAGCGGTCCTCAATTACTGATGGGAACTTCAGCCAGATGGACTCTGACCTCTTTTGGTCGAAAGTCAGCCTTTAGGTGCTTGTTCTTTCTGATCCGTTGAGTGTTTTGTCATGACTATTCCTAACTGAATTTTTGCATGGGGGCCCCCAAAAACTAACCGGCGGCTATTGTTATTCGCGTCGAGCATTCCTCAGTGAATCTAAGGAAAAGTGAATCGCGGTCGTGGTCGAGTTGTTCTGCGTTGAACCTACCTGAAAGAGAGTTTATCTGATTAGTGCTATGCTTACCTGAGTCGCCCGAAGGCGACTCGTGGGGGCGCCAGGCCAGGGCACCACGGACCTCTCCGTTCTGTGTATATTGTATCCCGGGATTCGGTAGCTCTTTTCGCTTCTTATCCGTGTCTCCTGTAGTGTCATGACGTCTATGTCTAGACGCGATAGCAGTTCCAGTAGCTCGTTCGGTACCTACAGAAGGTGAAACCGTTTAGGTTCCACGGGACTCATGCAGGCATCACTGTTGCCCGGGTGCCTGTATTAAGGCAGCTAAGACCGCTTGCGCGATCTTCTGCTGCTCAGTCGTTAGGCTTCCTAGGATTTGGACCATTTCGTTTCCTCCGGCTTTCTGCGCCTTCGGTGCTGGTTTTCTTTGGGCTGGTTGCTGACGAGGCCTCTGACTCTCCGCTTGTCGAGGCCTGTTTCTTGCTGTTGGTATTTGCCTAAGTTTAGGGAACATTCTACATCCCCTTTAGCTGGCCGGGTGCATGTCCAGGCAGTTGTCGCATTTTGCTGGAGTGTCTTTTGTCTGTTGACACTCCTTTGTGTCGTGACCTTCGCCGCACTTTACGCAGCGGGCTGTCGCGTGACAGCACCTCTGCGCGTGCCCGAAGAATTGGCACCTATGGCATTGGTTGATAATCGTTTTATTGACTCTTTGCGGCTCCGCCCGCACTATCAGGTTAACACACGTCCCAAGCGTGTATATTTTTTCCTGGTCTTTTGGTACTTTTACCAGGAATAGTGGGAGTATTTTCCTCGTTTTCCGCGAGGTCATGCGGTGACATTCTATCACCGTATATCCCTACCTTCCCAGGTCTGCTTTCACGTCGGCTTACGCCAGCTTTCCTCGTTGTCGGTGTGTATATAAATGCCATCTTTTGTCAGCCTGACCCTGCTGTGAGATATTCTCCTCTTTTCTATCTCCTTGAAAACCTCATTCCACCTTCTGGTGTCGTGCATCACGACTGGTGGCGGTTCTGCAGGGTTTATCGTGCTTGCGTTCGTGTTCGGATTCGAATCTGAACTCAATGGGATTGGCAGAGCTTCTTCGTTTCTGTTCGGTCTGACATTTGGCCATACTGGAACTTCTGGTGTTTTGTGGGTTGGTGCCTCTGTTTGTTTACGTTTGTCGTCTATGGTCGGTGTTTCCGTTGTTGCTAACCCTGCTTTTATAGTTACCGTTTCCTCCTCTGTCTCCATGTCCACGTGGATTTCTTTCTGCCTTTCACTTTCTTCCCGTCCCAATCTTCTTCGCGTTTTCCGGTTTTTCTTCGTTTCTACGCGTTGGAAACCGTCGTCTGATTCTGTTTCGGAACTTACCTCTGGGGCTCTTGGCCGCTTGTTTGCTCGTTGATCTGTGCTGTTGTTGTCCATTTTTTCAGGGACATTTTCACTGTTTGTACTTACCTTATCCTTCTTTTCATTCCCTTGTTTAGGGATGTTTTTTCCTTGATCCTTGTCGCTTTCCTTTTGCTTTTCCCTTTTGTCTTCGTTTTCTTTTTCTTTCTTTTCGTTTAAGATTTCATCTATCCTACGTCCCATGCTTTCTATTATTTCTTTCATGGCGGTGATGTCTTCTTCATACTTTTTGTCTGTTTTCATTCTTCAGTTCCTAGATGATCTCCTCCTTGAGATTTTCGTTTTCGTGGTCCATTTTTCAATAAAGCCGTTGACTAGGTCTGAAATGTAATTTTTTTTCATTTGCTCGAATTCTTTTTGACGTGTGCTTTCACACACAGCAGTTCTGAAACGAACTATCTCTCATGGTAGTGTGAAAACACTGCACTAAGCACTTTCACTAAATCGATCTCAATAATATTCGTATCACTGCACTTCAAGTTACACTTCAAGCTTTTACACTTTGATATTCACTCTTTGGCGTCTGGAAGTGGAATGATGATCCTGCATTTAGGCAGAAATTTTAGCCGGACAAATGCAGAAGGCTGTCATTCTTGCTTCATCTGTTTAAGGCACATGATTTTCGAAGGCGATGACCACTTACCCCACAGTGTGAGGGGTGGTCATTGATTGATGATGCTGGTGTGCTTTTTCGAATGAGTCGCAGCTTCTGAGACAAGGCCCGACCAGCTCAACCCTTAGAGAAATAAATATCAACAATAATGGTAATGATAAGTTTATTTATGTAGTGGAAGAACATATGATTGTTAGAATTCCAGAAATTTACTAACAAAACGGTGGGATACAAATTCGGTTTCTTTGAATTGTGTATGTGTACATCCATATTATTTTTCATTCCTATCATATATCGAATAACTCTTTGGTGAAGGTGAAGACTACATTGATTAAAACTGGTAGGTAGTTTTTAAGGAAAGAAAGGTTTCCATCCTGATGCAAAAATATGTGGGAATCTTCCAACTATTTCCAATCAGACGGATGGATCTTTTCTGGAAGGAATCCAGCAGCTTCAGAGTATGCTTAGGGGGGGAACTCCATACGTGTGAACAATATTCCAAAGAAGGTCTGATCTGAGCTTAGGTTAGGTACGAAGTGAGTGGGTCTATTTGACCCTCCACCGCAACCCGCAAGGGTTTATTGTGGCTTACACCTATTCACACTCGGCCAAATGAACCCAGCATCCTAACGAAGCCGATTAGTTTGTATGGTGAGTGGTCTTTCAGGTTAGATGGTGAGAGTAGGGCTCTGTCGAACTCTAAAGACCTGATTCAGTCCCCAGCGGGGCAGGCACAAAGTATGTGCTCTGTTAAGGAGGTAGACGGATAGTCAAGTTGCAAGATTCCCTCCTTGATACCTACGACAACCTTCCCTCCTATGGCGTGCAAAAACCCTCAAGTTTTTGCACGTCAGCTACACCTGACGATGCCTTAGATTTGGTGAATCATTACTTTAGCGCAAACTTTTGCTAACCTGCTCATGGGGGCTTTGTTCCCCGACCTGAAATAGATTCTGCGTACGCCGCTCAAGAATTTGGTGCAAGGCGGTTGTATAAGGTACCCCGCTCTTGAGGAGACGACTCAGTCGTTTCTTGGCTGCACCACCAAACCTTTTTTCTTCAAGGTTCAGCTGGAGTCGTAAACTTGACATCCATCTCCTCTGTAGACTCGCTCCTGAACTAAATTTACAGGGAGGTCAGTTGGAGTCGTAAACTCGATATCCATCTCCTTTGTAGACTCGCTCCTGAATTGAGTTTACAGAGAGGCCAGTTGGAGTCGTAAACTCGACATCCATCTCCTCTGTAGACTCAGCGTCAGAAAGAATTTTCAAGTTTACTCTGTCCATAAAAATCCCACGAGTAGCTAGGGAAAGAAGGTCAATCACGGCAGAGCCCCGCATTACCGTGACAAGGCGATGCTACGACGAGAGGGCGCCCGGTATCTCGAAGGTTTCGTAGAGACAGCTGATAGGCTCAGTATCATTTATCCTCTCGGCACAGATACACACACCTTAGGATTGAGCTATCGTTGAGATGCCATTCAGTTAGAGAATGACAGAACCACAAGTGATTCTGTCATTCCCGTATCCAGCGGGGCTACGTGAAAGCAGGCATCCGATGGCCGGTTTGCTCAACCCCCACATCCCAAGCCGAAAACAGAATGCACAGTGGTTCAGGCAGTGAAAGATGAACAAGGACAGCCAACTCGCCTGATCTGAGCTTTATGAAACATCAAGTTGCTGAGGTTTGTACAGTTCTCTGGTTCAGAACAGTGTTACAAGCTTTTGAAAAGCAGCCTTTACAATTCCAGCGACATTATTGTGCCAAGATATATTAGTGCTCATTTTAACCCTCAACAAAATTATCGAGGCCGAAAGCGGAATTGTCTGTCCTGACATTTTATAACCTGGTTACTTTCCCCCTAATTCGAAATCATCTCCAGATTCTTATTAAGATATGCAACTTCCATAATCTTTTCTTCTCATTCTTGATATTATATCTTTCAACTAATTCATCCAAACATTTTTGTACTGGTATTTTCAGTATTTTTCAATATTTCATTCTTTCCTTTTTTTCTCATTTTTCTGTCAACACCTCTTTTGGACAATTGAAGAACAAGGTTTGAAACGCGCTGATTAGGACGATAGAAATCAGAAGTTGGAGTAAGATTAATTACTAGTTTGAAAAATATTTTATAATAGTAAAATGAAACAGTGAAAACTTCTCACCTACAGCAGTTGTGATTCCATTCAAAACCAGACCAACAAACCAATAGTAATTCATCGTTTCAAACAATACTACTGATAAAAATGGATAACATTTCTACTTGTTGCCAGTTATAATCCTTTAGAAGGAAGTGAAACGTCAATAGTGATAAGATACGTATAAAAAAAATTAAAAAATGAAATCATTTGAAGTGTCAGTGATATCAACTAATTTCAAGCTATAATGATGATATAGCGACTTCGAACATTATTAATCTCCTCAATCAAATATGGAAAATTCGCTATTCAAAAACGATATCAGTAAAATATTTTGAAATCCTTCCTTCATTTGAAGGAAGGATTTCAAAACCACGGTTTTCAAAACCATGACACGAGTTTCGTTTCGCATATTCTATTTCACCAGTGACTATTTTGCTCACCTTGCTCAACTATTCAGTTCATATTTCAATTAGTTGTTATGGAATTCGAACATATATCATCCACAGAAACGCTGTACAACTGAAACGCTGGTGAACTGAAGAGGTTGAAGGAAAACGTAAGGCTTGTGCTCAGGCTCGAAGAAAAGTGGTAATGAAAGAGGTAATTTTCCCGAAAAAAAGAGTGAAAGGTACTAGAACTCCGATATACTGGTGGACTGAAGAGGTTGCAGAAAAACGTAAGGCATGTGCTCAGGCTAGAAGAAAAGTGGTAAGATCGAACAGAGGTAAAGATGAACCCCAAAAAAGACTGAGGCAAGATGAATACAAACAAAGCAGAAATGATTTGAAGAAAACAATAGTAGAAGCCAAACAGAAAGCGTGGAGAATACTGATAGAAGAAGTACATGCTAACACATCCGTGTTAGGAATCACACGTTAAAAGGTAAGACCTCGTTAGTCCTTAGCTCGCACAAGTTTCTTAACTTCTGAGAGTTGTCGTTCGTATGGGGGCGGCAGCTGATTAACGGAAAAACAGATTTTTTTTAAAACAGATATCTGGGGAAAGGGCTACCAAATAGTAGCTAACAAGGTTAGAGTCAGACAGCCGATTGGACTTACTGAAGAAGAACAAATGAAATTTTCTAACACGTTGTTTCCATCTCACCAGATTAAAAAATGGGACAGATTACCAACGGCACCAGAGGAGATATCACCGTTCACAATGGATGAACTCATGGAAGCCAACAAAAGACTAAAAGAGAAAAAAGTTCCCGGTCCGGATGAACTTCCAGCGGAAGTCATCAAAGTTGTCGTTAAATCACACCCGGAACAATGCCTGAGGACAATGAACCTATTATTAACGAAAGTGCAATTCCCCAAAGAATGGAAGATAGCCAGACTCGTTCTTATCGAAAAAGGTAAATGTAAATCGTACAGGCCCATATGTATCCTGAACATCATGGGAAAACCCCTCGAGCATCTGAACAAGGCGAGACTCTTGAGAGAAATAGGTCAAAAACAGATGCACTGGCGAAGGTACAAAACATCGCAGACCAAGCAAATGAAAAACCTGGCAGGAAAAGGTGAGCCATGATAAAGTTGGATGTACAAAACGCTTTCAACTCCGCGCTATGGGAAGGGATCTTGAACGAAATCAAAAGAAGAAATGTAACTGCATACCTGTACAATATGATTGCCAGCTACCTTGAAGAGAGATAGTTAATAGTAGGATACAAGAGAAAAATGAACAACATCACCTGTGGTGTTCGACAAGGTTCTGTAATTGGTCCCCCATTGCGGAACACTATGATGGGGACTGAATCTGAAGGTCCCTAGGAAAGTTAGTCTAATAGGCTACGCAGATGACCTAGCCGTGGTGGTGGTGAGGAAAAATGAAGAAAGTCTGGTAAAAACTTCCAATAGAACTGTGAAGGATATAGCCGAGTGGATGTCAGTGAAACAACTGAAGCTTGTCCCCCGGAAGTCAGAGGTAGTACTGCTGGCAAAAGGCAGAAAACTGAAAAGTATTACAATTGAATTGAAGGAAACGAACATTCGTAGCCAACAATCTGTTAAATACCTGGGAATCCACATGGATCGAAATATGAAAATGGGAGCTCATGTTAGGAAAGTAGCAGAAAAAGCGGGAAAAGCCATAAGCAACATAAGCAGGATAATGCCCAACGTTGGGGGGCCTCGTAAAGGTATCAGAAAATTCTATGCCCAGTCGCCCAGTCGATCATGCTATATGGCGCAATTATTTTATCTTCTGCTGCTCAGTCGTTAAGCTGCCTAGGATTTGGACCATTTCGTTTCCTCCGGCTTTCTGCGCCTTCGGTGCTGGTTTTCTTTGGGCTGGGCACGTTTATCGTGCTTGCGTTCGTGTTCGGATTCAAATCTGAACTCAATGGGTTTGGCAGAGCTTCTTCGTTTCTGTTCCGTCTGACATTTGGCCATACTGGAACTTCTGGTGTTTTGTGGGTTGGTGCCTCTATTTGTTTACGTTTGTCGTTTATGGTCGGTGTTTTCGTTGTTGGTAACCCTGCTTTTATGGTTACCGTTTCCTCCTCTGTCTCCATGTCCACGTGGATTTCTTACTGCCTTTCTCTTTCTTCCCGTACCAATCGTCTTCGCGTTTTCCGGTTTTTCTTCATTTCTACGCGTTGGAAACCGTCGTCTGATTCTGTTTCGGAACTTACCTCTGGGGCTCTTGGCCGCTTGTTTGCTCGTTGATCTGTGCTGTTGTTCTCCATTTTTTCAGGGACCTTTTCACTGTTTGTACTTACCTTATCCTTCTTTTCATTCCCTTGTTTAGGAATGTTTTTTCCTTGGTCCTTGTCGCTTTCCTTTTGCTTTTCCTTTTTGTCTTCGTTTTCTTTTTCTTTCTTTTTGTTTAAGATTTCATCTATCCTACGTCCCATGCTTTCTATTATTTCTTTCATGGCGGTGATGTCTTCTTCATACTTTTCGTCTGTTTTCATTCTTTAGTTCCTAGATGATCTCCTCCTTAAGATTTTCGTTTTCGTGCTCCATTTTTCAATGAAGCCGTTGACTAGGTCTGAAATGTAATTTTTTTTATTTGCTCGAATTCTTTTTGACGTGTGCTTTCACACACAGCAGTTCTGAAAAGAACTTTCTCTCGTGGTAGTGTGAAAACACTGCACTAAGCACTTTCACTAAATCGATCTGAATAATATTCGTATCACTGCACTTCAAGTTACACTTCAAGCTTTTACACTTTGATGTTCACTCTTTGGCGTCTGGAAGCGGAATGATGATCCTGCATTTAGGCAGAAATTTTAGCCGGACAAATGCAGAAGGCTGTCATTCTTGCTTCATCTGTTTAAGGCACATGATTCTCGAAGGCGATGACCACTTACCACACAGTGTGAAGGGTGGTCATTGATTGATGATGCTGGCGTGCTTTTTCGAATGAGTCGCAGCTTCTGAGACAAGGCCCGACCAGCTCAACCCTTAGAGAAATAAATATCAACAATAATGGTAATGATAACTTTATTTATGTACTGGAAGAACATATGATTGTTAGAATTCCAGAAATTTACTAACAAAACGGTGGGATACAAATTCGGTTTCTTTGAATTGTGTATGTGTACATCCATATTATTTTTCATTCCTATCATATATCGAATAACTCTTTGGTGAAGGTGAAGACTACATTGATTAAAACTGGTAGGTAGTTTTTAAGGAAAGAAAGGTTTCCATCCTGATGCAAAAATATGTGGGAAAAGACTGAGGC